CTATATTTTTGAAGTAAAATTGTATGAATTAATTTTTCACCAGTTTTGCATCTAATGTAAATTTAATGTGTGTAACATGTCCTAAACGATAACCATAACTATAGACAACCTCAGTAGCGTAGTTAGGCGGAGACAAGAAGCGCTCCGCCCCGGGCGTCATCATTTTAGGGATGACACTAATTTAAGAAAATAATTATATTATTTATTATTTGAAATTTATACTTCAATTATTCTGAAATGCATATAGTTATTTAATATATTGGTTGTATTTTTACTTTCTTGCTACCGCTTACATACTAAAGAAAAAGTCCTGTAAAGCTGCAGGAAAAAACTGGAAATTTTTGGCACAAAAATTCCTATTACAGGGTTCTGATAATGAAAAAAGTGAATAAATACAGTTGCTAAATTTAGGAAAAAATACTTTAACACGTGGTGTAGCTAGAATCCATGGTTTGCGAGTCCTTGACACCAGAAAATCGATTGACGGCAAAAATTCTTGTCTGTCCGTTTGTGAACAATGCTGGCGACTAAACCGTTCACCTGATATTTTCCAAAATTGATATTCATCAAACTTCAATTTGAAAAGAATATTTTAATTTTGGAAAGTTCTTTACATGATGTTCCAGATAAAATTAAAATTACAGAAATAAAATTACATTAATACATGAATTATAAAAATGGAACTATAAGTTATTACTTCATTTTTATAATTCATGTATGAATGTAATTTTATTTCTGTAATTTTAATTTTACCTCCGAGAATGATCGCTACGCAATTGAATCAATCTTTATCAATATATTTTTTGATAACAGACATCTTTAATTTACCTATTTAAATATCTTATGTTTGTAGTAAAATCTACCGAGCCAGAATCTAACTCATCTTAATTTGTTACGAAGACTCGAATGCAGCAGAAGAAGTAATAAAAATCAAAGGTACACCAGATAATTCACTTAGGTCTCCGTCACACGAGCGTTGCGTTGACGCGCGATAAGTACCGCGCGTCGTTGATTGCATCTTACGCGCAGCGGCCAAAGCGCTCGTGCTTCGCATACGCTGTAGTGTTATTCACGCGCGTTATTTAGCGCGCGTCAACGCAACGCTCATGTGAAAGACTCCTGCAACATTTCCATTATCCACTTCGTATCCTTTTGGGCACAACGGGTTTCATAATCCGGCTTTTCATCTGGCGACAGCTCTCCTTTCTTGCTTAACAATTTCATCTGGAATGTAACATTCCTGAAGTCTAAAAGAATAATGAGGCAGTAAGCGGAAGGAAAACTTCGTCCCTGACAGGAAGCATACTTATAGGGAAAAAGGTTGCATGTGCGGATTAATTACGAGTCGTGGTAGATTAATTCTCAAATGAAATTACGAGAGTAGTCGCGTGTTGGGACAGTAATTTTCTTGCTAGAGAGCTATGATTTGTTCGTTACAAACGTGTAGATAATCTGAATCATAATTAATTATCCAATGTGTCAACGAGTAGGAAGAATGTGCATATTGTCACCGATTAATTTCAGTTTCCTTTTGGA